CCATTATTTTATTTGTCTAACCCGAAGGAATTAAAAAACAGTAATAATAATAAAATAAATTACCTAGTCGGAATTGTGTAATCCGACTAGGGGTGTTCGAATTTTTTAAATATTTGCTTTTTATCCTTGTCGGAAATGAGAAATCCGACCAAGGAATATGTTTTAGAATTTTTGTTTTTTTAAGAATTTTTATGATATTTTATAAATTAAGCTATATTTTGTTTTCTTTTAAGAAATTTTATAAATTAAATATTTTATAAATTAAATTGTTATTTAGAAGTATTTATTTTACTAATTTTTAAGTCATTTAATTAGAGAAGTTCACATTTTATAATATGACACGTTTAAGTAATTTTTAACTCATTCAATTACATAAGCTCACATTTTATATATTTATTTTTTGTAGTATATAATATTATTGAAATTTATGAATGTATCTATTTTGTACAGTCATAAACTCGGGTGAAGAGTCGGACGACCCAGACTGAATGCCTCGATGACATGGTGCTTTGGTCGGCTGATGTGATGCTCATAATTTGCAATATGCTGAAAGGCATTACCGCAATTGATTTCTTCGGTAGTTCAATATTTTGCAAGATATTCCGAAAAACCCAAAGCAGAGTAATGATCATCACACCAATCATATCAGTCCAACATATCAACCGGTGCCTTAACATTGTGGGTGAATGTGCTAAATTATATATACTACGGGTAATCCCTAGTCGGAATTGGGTAATCCGACTAGGGGGAGGGAATTATTTTCTTTCTTTGGGAACTCTATCTACTTCGACATAAAAAAAAAATTTAAAAAAAAAATATTTTTTCCTTAGTCGGAATTGGGTAATCCGACTAGGGGAGGGAATTATTTTTTAATTTGGGAACTCTATCTACTTCGACGTAAAAAAACAAAATTAAAAAAAAAAAAAAATTCCCTAGTCGTAATTGGGTAATCCGACTAGGGGGAGGGAATTATTTTTCGAAATCCTAACTTCTGGTCGGAATTGGGAGTTCGGACTCCCGTTTTTTGGTAAACCCTAGGTAAATCCCCGTCTTTTGGCAACCCAATCCCCCTTTCCCCGTCTTTTGGTAAATCACCCTAAGTTTTCATCTGCTTACATTTGACAAATCAACAAAACAATTTCAAAAATTAAATTGCTAAAGACAATTTTGTAAAGAGAAAAAAGAAAATATGATGAGAGCATATAAAAGTAAATAGAACATTGAGAAAAACCATAACGACAACAAAAACTCAATCTTTACTACATGTAGCAAAGATCAGTATTACTTTCCCAGAGTTTGAAAATTAGTCTGGGAAAATTAGTACTACTTTCCCAGAAATTAAAGCCTGTCCATCTTCATATCATCATATGCACAGTAAGTACACACAAATGTAGTGTATGGTAAAGGAAATGTTACTGATTTTCTGTGTTTTGGGTGTAAACAAAGGATTAGAGAAAGAAAAGCAACATAAAGATAAATGTTACAGTATAGGAGGGGGTATGATATAAGCCCAAACCATTTTTCAAAAGATACTTACATATGTGTTCTTAGTAGAAGAGCAAATGTGACATGTGTTGTGAAACGAAGGTATGTATTTAGGTATGTGTTTTGTATAGAACACATAAAGCGAATTAAAAAGTAGGGGATATGTTTCTTGAAAATTTGTAAATTCAATAAGCACTGGCTGACCTAATTTAATGTCAATTTGTATAAGCCTAGTAATTGAGGATCACCGTATAAGCACTTTGTGAGCAGCATCAATTTTAGTTTTGATTAAAGTTATGACAGCTGAATTTTATGTTTTGATTAAGTGAATAGCAGAGAAAGAGCCAGCAGAGTCTTTGTTGCCATTCTTATTGAAGCTTTGGTTTATTCAAGCTTCGGTCTATTCCTATTGAGTTTGTAAAACTTACTATAGCATGGAGTTCCACTTTTCAGATTGGTTGGTTTAGTTTTAAGTCTATAGTTATAGAGACATTTTATTACTTTCAGGTCATCAATGTAATTGTGTTCATCCTACCCTCTTATGAGAGTCATAAGCAAGGGGGGGAAAGCAAGTCAAAGAAACAGAAATTAGGTGTATTTCTACCAAGCAATGGTTTTCTCATTCCATAAAGTTCATAATACAAACCATAGGTATTATCTTGAATCCTAAAATTGAATAAAACAGAAAACATTGGAGTGATTGAACTACTCAAAGCTGGTTTATAATACATAGTAGATGTTGTAACATGTATGAAGGAATTGTGTAAGGGAGCAATTAAAAAATCATTTCGGTTTAATTTTAACAGATTTCACAGATTCACAAATAAAGTGAATCAATATTTCCTTGTTTGGTTCACAGATTCACAAAGTGAATCATTTCCTTCTGAATATAGATGATTCACTATTGTTCTAAAGATTGAAATAGTGAATCTATGCTCTATGCCCTTTATAATTTATAACAAAACATGGATGACTGTCAGAATAGATGAACAAAGGGGTTCTTAGGGATGAACACAAAATAATGACAGAATAAAAATGTTTAAGTATGCCACTCTAAGGAAAAAAAAGTAATCTTTTATGCTGAAACTAATTAAAATGACACTTCAAGATTCAATTTGTAGGTCATACTCAAGTCAATTTTGAGTGTTGCTAGACCTTCCACTCAGTTGTACTACGTATTTTTTAATGCAATAAGTGCATGCTCTCAAAAGAGAAGATGATATTGTTAGTAATCATTCTATTCTACCTAGTTCCTAACACAAAGTTAAGCACGATCTTTTGAAAGAGTGTTGCAAGAACCTTAGTCAATAGCATTTTACTTGAAAATAATGTACTCATTTGTGAGTCTTCTGGGAGAGTATTTACTCTACTGTTACAGTTTGGAGTTCTATATCTAATAGGAAAAGTTGAGGTCCCTGCTTCAATCTGATCGACTTATAATTTGACGGGTTTCAACCATTCTCAGAGTAAAATTATGTAAAAAAAACATTGGTGAAATAATTTGCTGAAATTTTTAGTTCATGTGGAATGATCCCAACTCACATAAGTGATCATATAAAAGTTTCAGTTACAAAAGATGAACTTTATATGATGAATATCTTTATCATATAATTTCAATATTTTTTGTCGTGAAAAGACCAGAAGGACCATTTTCGCTATGTAAGAAGTCTCAAAACACCTTACCAAATGACCAATTACTTTCTTTTAAAACTCTTTGGGCTTTACGATTGTGTATATTCCTAATTCCTTGTGTTCGTTTCCTCGTCAAAGGTTTTATTACACGAAATCGCTTTTGTAAATGGGTTGACATCCTCTAGAGTCTAGGCATCTGCTTGAAATTGGTGAGTAGGCCTCTTTTACTAATAAAAATGTGAAGCACAAAATTATAACTTAGAGCACGTTTGATAACCCAGTTTTTCAGCTTATCAGGCTTATTTATCAATTTTCTCATCAAACACGTAACTTTTGATTTCTCGCGCTGAATTGTGTAATAACAAGAAAATGTAAGGTTGAAGTTACTTTTCTGGTTGTATTAAGTTAAGTTATTGTAGAGGATCATTTTAACAATTTTTCATCTAATGTTTCTTTATTTTATTCATAAAAAATATTCCAAAAATAACTTTTTTCATAAATCAACAGAATCAGTCAAACCAGCCACTTCAGTCACAACATCAGCAGAATCAGCCGATTCAATCAATTTCAGTGTTACAAAACGGGCTCTTAGTAATTATTAGTGTCTATAATTTCTTTCTAAATTTACACTGTACTAATTTTCATGTAATTACTACAATGAAATTTCCACACAATTAAAGTCACTAATAGTTACAGAAGATATGTTTGTGTTTGTTTGTGTTTCTTAAAAGTGATTAAGAGATTTTTGAAAAAATGTTTGAAATAGAAGTGATTATAATTAAAAGTTAAAGTTGAAGTGTTTGATAAAAGGTGATATATGATATGATATTCAAATAAAAGTACACAAAAACTCTTACCATAAAAAAATCATACGGGGGCACACATGATATAATGTATTGGGTAATTGGGAATATTGGTAAATGTGTTGTCCCAATAATTGTCCTTAAAGTTGGAGCTAATTACAAAAAAAATACCTGAAAGCTTTTAAAAGCAATCTCCTTATTGCTTTGAGCTTTTGGATTCTAAGAATTAATATAAGCAAAAGTTGATCTTTACAAACACCATTTTTTAGCTTTTTTCAATTGAAAAACACTTCTAGAAGCAATAACAAACATATCCTAAATACATCTTTTTCTAATACTACGTAAGATTGATGAGTTGAAAACTATATTACGAAACAAAAATGCTATAAGTATCCCGGGTATCCTTTTTTACCCCACCCTATTATATGACCCAGATGGAACAATATATTTAAGTGGGGCAACTCATTTAAATGTGACCTCATTAATGGAGTACTATAACGCAACTCATTACTATAAATTTCAAGTGGGTCGACATGTATTGGAAAGGACAATGATCATCGTTGAATATATTTTGTTTTCTTCGTGCAGCAAATCATTTACAAATCTCAGTACTATTATTACAATAATAAATACGGAGTACTCCGTAATAATGATGACAAATTAACAGCATAGTTATCATTTCTCAAGTAGAATTCTTATTCGACAGGATCAGATTAGTATTGGAATCCTTCAACATGCTCCATGATCCATTTTTTCTTTCTTTTATCACTACTATATTTTGCAAAAAGAAAAACACACATTTCAAAAAATAATTGAGGAAGGACGGCATGGTTGAAGGCCACTGGGTATCTGATCTGGCTAATCTCATAACTGCATTATAGTCTGTCAATTCCAAATCTGCAAACGAATTTAAGTATTTCTTTTCCCCACACGCCCAGTCCCGCTGAGCTGTGGCTGCTGCTTTACTACTCCATTCCACGTGAACATTTTCTGATTTCCCATTGTTCATTTCTATCATCCTGACACCAGTTTTATAATGTACGGAGTATTGGTAATTGCGTTTCCATCTACGAGTATTACAAAACTTTATCAGGTGGAAATGAAAAAATAAAAACTACAGGGCTACTGGGTGTCTGGGTGTAGTCGAATAAATGATCATCCACTCTCAAGTCTCTCTTGTAAAAGGTCTAGGTTTCAATTCCCACCAAGGGAAGATGAGGGAGGTTTTGTTCCAAATGATTCTTTCTATTTTCACGAAGTTGCTCAGCGGCTGAGAATGGAGGGGATGGTAAATGGTAATGTAGGCAACGAGTTCGTGTGATAGGGGGAGCAGCCTGGATGCAGCATGATCGACAAGCGATGTAAGTCCTGCTGGATTCGTTAGGGGTGAATTCGGTTCTTTCGGTTTGGTTTTGACCTAAAATCAAATACAGAACCAAAGTAAAAGTTCGGTTCGGTTTCAGTTTGGTTTTACACTCCAAAACTTGGAACCACGGTTTGATTGATTCGGTTTGTTTTGGTTCGGTTTCGATTTTTTCGGTTTTTTAATAAAAATTTGTCATTTGATTTAAAATTGATATAAAAGTTGGAGGGATCAAACATATTACATAAAAATGCAAGCATACTTGAACAAATAAAGAAAATAATAATAAACAAATATGTCTTGAATTATATGAGTATGAATGAGAAATAAAAATGTGTATCTATTCTTAATTTACATTGTGTGTGACTTCTTTGAAAAAAGTTTATGAATACATACGTCCTATGTGATATAGCTGAGATGAATATTTATTTGTTTTATCAATATAAAAAAATTAAATTACAAAAAAATAAGTTACATAAAAAAATTAATTACTACTAATAACCTGTAAAAATATATAATCATGCAACAAATCGCAACATACATACATAAAAGACATAATAGATCAATATAGCTACATTATTATGGCCAATAAATGTGTAAATGCATTTATAAACTAAACTAAACATAGCACAAACATTATTTCTGTAACACAAGAAATTCAAAGATTATTGATGATATTAAAATTAGTGCTTACATTTAACAAATAAAATTTCAAATTTTATTTTTGTTCGGTTCGGTTCGGTTTTGAAGGGTAAAAACCAAAACCGAACCAAATTACTACAGTTCGGTTCAGTTTTTACATTCGGTTTCGGTTATTAGCGGTTCGGTTTTATTTGGTCGCAGTTCGGTTTAATTTGATTCGGTTTTCAGTTTTTCGAACTCAACCCTAGGATTCGTCTTGAGGAACCGGTACGGTCGAGGTTGACTGTGATCAGATCCGGATTTAACTGTGTAGGGGCTTTGGAGGATAGTTCATAGACTCCAGGATTATAGGAGCGCAAACCCGATACCTGAAGTTTTTAAAAAAAGAAAAAATAAAAACTATGTAGTATTTGATTGGGTTTGTGTAAAGAAAACAAAAATATATAATAGAAATTTCAAATTCATTGATCAAAAACGAAAATAACAAATTAAATTTTAGTCTGTAAAAAAGGGAATATAAACTCCCCTCCTCCTCCTCCTCCTTATTATTATTATTATTATTATTGTTGTTGTTGTTGTTGTTGTTGTTATTATTATTATTATTATTATTATTATTATTATTATTATTATTATTATTATTATTATTATTATTATTATTATTATTATTATTATTATTATTATTATTATTATTATTATTATTATTATTATTATTATTATTATTATTATTTTATAATTTTATTATTATTATTATTATTATTATTATTAGTATTATTATTATTATTCGAAGTTGGCCTCAAGTTCCTCGGTTTCTTTCGCTCCCACGAAGGACATTAGCTTGGTTAATCCAAGTCCCATGTACTTGACGTCATAAAGTTGACGACGGTCAACTTTCTTCAAGTTACATGGATTGGACAGACCAAACCCTTCCTTTGAATTATAGAAACGAGTGTCCTTGGGTTGATTTAGAAAAAATGGTTTGTTCAATTTGATCTCGTTTAGCAAACTGTGATATCTCTTTTCATACTTGACCACCAATAACTCTCCTTCAAGTCCCGATACATCTTAGTACCTCCCTGATGCATAGCATATGCCGAAGAATGAGCTTCCTCTAATATAGATTTTTGGAGTTCCTCATTCTAAAGTAAGCATACACGATCCCTAAACAATGAGACCATCTTCTCTTACCCGGAAATCCTCAACGGGTCCCGCAAGAACCCGTTCAAAAGTGTTTTGGCATCCCTCGTCAGTACCCTGACGCCTCTTGATCTCATCAAGTAAAGTGGGTCTCACCTCAAATCTCGGTATAAGGGCCCCTCTCATGGACACCTACACGTGCTGCCTCAATGCCCGTAGACATGTGAGTAACTAACGTACCCGAGTACTCTTCCTGCTCTGTGCGTCAGCCACTACATTGGCTTTCCCCGGATAGTAGTCGATGATCAAATCATTGTTTGATCAACTCCGTCCATTTCCTTTGTCTCATATTCAACTCTTTTTGAGTGAATACATACTTCAAACTCTTATGATCAGTGTAGATGTGACATGTCTCCCCTTAGAGATTGTAATACCCGAGATTAATTTAAGAAGATTAATAATATTACTCATACTAACAGAGGTGCATCTCCTTTTAAGGGAGCTCATCCGCTAAGAACTCCAAAGTTAAGCGTGCTTGCACGGGAGTAGTCTTGGGATGAGTGACCCCCTGGGAAGTTTCTCAGGGCGCGCATGAGTGAGGACAAAGTGTGTGGTAAAGGCTAGACGGTATTTTTCTATGCCGACGAAAATATGCGTCGGATATAATCTCTGACATTGGGTTTCTTGGTGCCAAACCCGCTGGGTTTCCCATCGAACAGAATCATATGTTGGCTTTAGCCACTGGCCCTCTACTAGAGGATCCCGAGTCCTATCGCCGCCTCGTTGGTCGCCTAATTTATCTTTCTTTTACACGTCCAGACTTGGCATATGCAATGCATATTCTTTCTCAATTTATGCAAGCTCCGCGTCAACAGCGCCGAGATGCGGCGGTTCGTGTTGTACGTTACTTGAATGGCACTCCGCGTCAAGGAATACTTTTGAGCTCCTCGTGTGATCTGACCTTGACCGGTTGGTGTGATTCCGACTTGGCGAGCTGCCCACTATCTAGGCGCTCTCTCACTGGCTGGTTAGTGTTTCTTGGAAATTCTCTTATTTCTTGGAAAACCAAGAAACAACAAACTGTGTCCCGTTCATCTGCCGAGGCCGAGTACCACTACATGGCAGCTCTTACGACGGAATTAAAATGGCTTAAAAGCCTTCTTAGTCTCGGGGTTGATCATCCTCAAGCCATGCCTTTATTCTGTGACAGTAAGTCTGCACTTCACATTGCCCACAACCGTGTCTTCCACGAGCGTGCAAAACACATAGAAGTTGATTGTCATTATGTTCGAGATGCCATCCACGAAGGACTGATTACTACACAACACGTTTCCACTACTGATCAACTTGCTGATATATTTACTAAAGCTCTGGGCAAGCAGCAATTTTCCTACCTTTTTCACAAGTCGGGCATTTATGATCTGCATGCTCCAACTTGAGGGGGTGTTGGGCAAGTTTGGGCTTTGATTAACCATTATAATTAATTGTTAATTGTTCTTAGTTTGTATTTAATGGGCTTCGGCCTATTAGAGTAGGGTTGCACATACCGTGTATATATACTCACACTTTGATGTAATAGAGGGTAAGAGAAATCAATTCCAGATCACTTGTTTTATCATACCACCAATACTTCAAAATTTAAACTTTTGGGTGAAGAAAAGGGCGACACACATTTTATGAAAGGGCAAGTATTTGTTTATTATTAAAAAATATAATATACTCTTAATTACACATAGAGTTAGGTAGTTAATTAGGAATTTTCTAGCTCAACCATAAGTAGCGTATTATATTGATGATTGTATATTTATTATTGATGATTGTAGCGTATTATAGTTAAAGTAGCGTATTATATTGATGATTGTATATTTATTATTTCTATTTATTTGGAATTTCAATCACGAAAGTTTCCAACGCATACTTGGTAATATGGTTACTCGATCGATCGCATCAGATACTTATACGGAGAATGAAACAAGAGTACCTGTAGGGTTTCCTTGGCGGTTTCCATCTCCCTTCTTTTCTTTTCAAGCAAATCATGTCCGGATTTCGTCATTTACATCAAATCTCCATTCTAATGCATTTTGCGATACATCAATTTCAAACAAATTATTTGGCATTTAGCGGTTAGCGGATAGGAGATAACGGATTATGTTAGCGGGTTTTTAATAGCGGATTCAATCCGCAGGTTTGACCGGCGGAATCAAAATTGGCGGATTTTCAGAAGATGTTTGGTAATTTAGCTGTTTGACCATAAAATTAATACAAAACGCCAACCAAAACTCTCCTATTTGCAGCGTTTTCATTTCAGCGGTTCCGTCCAAATACGCTAGTATTGAACCACTATTTACCAAACTGTGTTTTGACTCATAAAAAATGTCAAAAGTGGTCAAACGTTATTTTTTGGCTGAAACGCCATTTACCAAACACCACCATAATGTGGGGCGGTTATATCATGCTGATAGTATAATGGTCTCCATTCATTATCCTTCTGCCGTAGATAGACTTTCTAATCTAACCATCTATTCCCCTTCTTGGTCAATCTTTCTCGTAGCCTCTTTTCCTGTTTTGTCTTCTTCTTCAATTATATTCTTCTCCTCATCGAAATATAAAACATTTAGATACAATGATCTTCTTCTCCTTAACAAAAAATAATACGGAGTATGATTTTTCATATTCTGAATACATTTAAATATGATTCTTTCATAGTAGTTTCAGTCAATTTAGCTAGTAAATCAGAGTTTCAATAAATACAATAGACTCAATGATTACCTTCTTGTTAATGATGCTTTAAATTAACATTAGATCAGGGGTGGAGAAAGGGGAAGGCGGGAGGGGGCCTTGACACCTCCAATAAGAAATTTGTGATGTACTGTAAATATTTATACTCCCTCCCTCCCTATTAAAGACCATAAACATTTTACACACAATTTAAGAAAGTAGTATTGTTTGACGTTGTTTGAACACTGTTTGACACGTTTGTCACTGTTTTATTTGCCAAAAAAGGAAATATGACTTCTATTTAGGGACGGTCTGAAAGTAAAGAGACACTTTTATTTAGTGACAAAGGGAGTAGATAATAAAAAAATATACTGAAGTTTTAAGTTTTAAGTCTCGTTCCTTAGCCTATTACTACGTATTTCTGACTCCGCGAATGTATACACTATGCAATGTGAAGCCATGTTGGGGTGGAAATCTATTTTTGTTGTAGATGTATCCTTATGAGCAATATGGTGAACAAACTTGCAGAAAAGACACGTAAAAATCCAAGATGGGGTTGTGATGTGGGGCCGTAAAAATAAAACGGGGGACCCGGCGGCTACTTGCTCATTCCCTTCTGATTTTTAGTCCTCCTGCCTTTATCTCATCCAACGAAACAGCTGTGCTTTGGTTGTACCCAATCTTCACCACTTAATTGATTAAAAGCACGGACGTTGAATCATTGATTAGGGAAAATTGCGATGTTTATATTTAATTAAGTGGGTGTCATCAACTATTTGAATTTCTAACTATGGTTTTTTAGTTTCCTTAGTTTCTAAACGTATTAATTAGTTTCCTAAACACAATACGTTGTATAATGCTTTTGTAGTACCAATCATTTATTTATTTAATTTGTTGGTCCACCCTAAGTCAAGTCAACTATGTGGTGTTTGGATCTGGTTCTTAAATTTTTTCTAGGAAAGGGTTAGATAGGCCCTCTAACTTACATAAAAAGGTCAAATAAGCCCTTATATAGGAGGCTCTATCCGGACGTCGCCATTTGAGACAGTTCATGGGGGAATTTTTTATAAAAAAATTGGAGCATCTTATTCATTAAGTCCAGTTTACTCATACCAAATTTCATCTAAAACTTCAATTGAGAAGACATTCAAATGAATTCTTGAAGATAACTGCTCTTTTAACTGCGCAGTTATCTTCGAGAATTCATTTGAATGCCTTTCCGATTGAACTGTTAGTTGAAATTTAGTATGAGTAAACTAGACTTAATGAATAAGATGCTCAAAAAATGTCATCAAACAATTCCACTGGGAACTGCCCCAAATGGTGATGGCCGGACAAAACCTCCTATATAAGGGCTTATTTGACCTTTTTATGTAAGTTGGAGGGCCTATTTGACCTTTTTCCCAAGGTTTTTGAGATGGTGAGGGAGACCAACTTCTGAAAAACTGATTCTGATTCTACTTTTAAAAAAGAAGTAGAAACAGAAGCAGAATCGATTCTAAATACTCCCCATTTACTACCTGTTCACTTGGGAAATTTATTAGAATATGACTAAAACTCAATGAGTTTCTCAATCTATGACCTAACTAGTTTTTATAATTATTTATGACCGAAAATCCAAATAAATAAATAAATCTTATTTGTATTTAAAGGTTAAATGACAAAAATACCCTTATTTAAAATATGTACATTTTGCACTAATTTCATCCAATTAAAATTACTGCACTTTAAAATTATGTACATCAATGCACAGCTTTACTGCACATCCAGTAATAATCACTGCGCTTCCGCCAAAATTAATTCTCTTCTCATTTACTTGAAGAATTAATTTTTACTGTTTTTTTAGATTTAATAATTTTATTATTTTACATTGAATTAAATACATTGCATTTCATGATGGTATTACTGCTTTGTGTAACAGCAATACTGGTCGTAATCACTGCACAACTAAATTATTAATGCATTCATTCACTGCCATTTACAACATGTCTATTACCATATATATTCACTACCCATACTCAACACTCGTTGAAATGTTCACTGCCGATATTCAATACTCATATTTAATGCCCACAAACCCTAAATTCAATAAAACCTAATCTCAAAAAATAAAAAATAAAGGGATAAGGGTTAAATAGGGCCTCGAACTTGAAAAAAAATGTCAAATAAGGCCATATTTAGGATGCTCTGTCCGGCCGACGCCATTTGGGGTGGTTCCCGGTGGAATTTTTTGATGAATTTTTTTGAGAATCTTATTCATTAAGTCTAGTTTGCTCATATCAAATTTGAACTAAAACTTTAATCGGGAAGGTATTCAAATGAATTCTTGAAGATAACTGTGCCGTTAAAAGCGCAGTTATCTTCATGAATTCATTTGAATGCCTTCCCGATTGAATTGTTAGTTCAAATTTGATATGAGTAAACTAGACTTAATGAATAAGATTCTCAAAAAATTTCATCAAAAAATTCCACCGGGAACCACCCCAAATGACGTCGGCCGGACAGAGCATCCTAAATATGGCCTTATTTGACATTTTTTTTCAAGTTCGAGGCTCTATCTGACCCTTATCCCAAAAATAAAAAGCAGAAGAATGAGGCGGACGAATGGGCTGTAGCGAGGGTGAGTTGGAGCGCCTCCATGCTGCTGGATGAGAAATTGGTTGTAAGGGAACGAAGGTGCATGGCTGGGAGGCGGCGGCTGCACATATGCATCGGGGCGGAGGCTGGGGGTGGATGAGAGGCGATGTGCACGGCCTAGGATGGCAGCACAGAGGTCGAGGGTGGTGCGCGCAGGTCTAACCTGGGACGGCAGTGTACAAATTTGGGATGACGATGAGGAGCGGCGGCTGGACGACAATGGGGAGCGGCAGCTGGACGACGGGCAGCAGATCGACGTCGGGCGGGGCTTTGGGACGTAGGTATGGCGGAGAACTGGCCCAACAAGCCACGTAGTGCTCCGGTGCTCCCAGCCTACCAGATCCGATTTCTGTGGAAGGCGGCGACGCAGGACGGTGGGTGGCGGCTGGACGGTAGCGCGGCTGCACGATGGGGCGGCTGGGTGTTGGGAGGTTGTAGCTAGGGTTGTAGAAAATGGGTAGGAGATTAGGGTTTTATAGGTGGAAACTAAAGGGTGTATTTGTCCACCTAAATTAATTATTAATTATTAATGACGAATTTCAATTAAATAATATGAATTTTAGTATTATTTTGGTAAAAAACTAGTTAGGTCATAGATTGAGAAAGTGAAGAAGTTCCGATCATACGTAGGGTAATTATTTCTTTTCACTTATCCTGTCTTTATTTCGTTTTACCATTATTTCATTTTTTATTTTATTTTATCATTATAATGCTAACAATACAACTTCACTTTGTTAATAAGCACGCAACTCCTTGGAGCGGATATAGTATATACTATCTTATTATTACTATGTATGAGGTCTAGTTCTAGTAGCCCGTATTTGTATTTGTGTTTGTTTTTCTTTTTAAATATTTGTAAATTCTTGATGATAATTTATTTGTTACAATGTGCAATATCTCTGTTCTATATGAGCTTTAGTTTTGTTTTTTTGGAACAAAGACTAGCCTATATTCATATCAAAAGTTTCAGGATTATTAGATCAGTCATGAGAAAAACAAAACTGACATCAACTAGACTCGAGCAACTATGACTGTAAACCCTATGATGAGCTTTAGAAACGGTCACCCCTGAAAGAGCAACACAAATCGCTAACCATGTAATGGGCTTGATGTCGAGAATTAATTAACGGAATAAGAAGAACAATAAAAAAGAACACACGAAATTTGGTAACCCAGTTCACCACAAAGGACTACGTCTGGGGGCGCTACTAAGCCAAAAATTGCTATTAGTTTTCGGATCAAGTGATTACAAGGAACAG